ATAGTTTATTGTCCTGTACACAAAGAATGCACGTGGTATATTTTTTTTCTCAAGGAGTACAATTCGTGACAGCGCTGCGGTTGATCCCAAATAAAGCCCAAGCTCTTACAAATTTTTAATTCCACCCGGGATGTAAATAAAGCGCAATGCGGCAGACTGAGCATGCATCACATATATCTTAAGTGGCAAGTCCTACCCATTCGAATTCGAGATGACGGTTAATTACTCCATGATAAAGATTGAAAGCATGACAGCTCACCTCGGTGTTAGTGATACGCCCCCTCTAACCCACCTGTGACTTTCGTGAATACTGATTGTGGACCTTTCGTATGCACAATAAACAGCAACAAAAAGGATAGCATTACTATTATAACCATTGTAAGATGGAGTTATAGATTCACGTTACTCACATCTTCTTCAGTCCACAGATTAGGAACAGCAAACGATTCCAAAAGATCCGCACCACAAACCAACTTCACTTTAGGTCGTGGATACAGCGTACAAGAAGTATCCGGTTCGGGGGAGCTATTCGAAGTCGTTGCGTTTGCAGAGCGGATTCCATGTGCTGACATTTCATTACTGTCCAAAGACGGTGTTTGAATTTGACTTTCCATGCGTGGGAAACCGATATCTGTCAGACAATCACTTAACCACTCTTCTGATAGAAGACCTGGTTTGTTAGTGTCACAAGTACACTTCAGAACTACCGACAAAAAATGGTTGATGAAGAACAGCAATAACCGGGCGGTAGAACAGTGTTGGAAATGGTGAGTAATTTAAAATATACGGCAAATTAATTGATTGTTTTAAATACTAGTCCAAAACTTTTGTGACGCAACAAAATTCATCAGTTTAGATCCCTAATAACTCCGAAACATGACAAACACCAAGATTTTCACCGTATGCTGTATACTGCATTAAATATCCTAAGTGTTTAAAACATGGGGATATGGTAATTCGCCTGTTACTGATGTGTCTATTAGGGAGATGAGTTGCAACATATTAGCTATCAACTCTTGCTATCGGAATGGTTCAAAACTTTTAATTTCCTCATGTCACATTTAGTTGATCCCAAGGTGTCATTGCCCATCATCAGCAATCTCTCATTTCTTTGAAGATTCCCACAGTAACAATTGAGAATAAACACGAAATAGCGAAAACGTAGCCGCACTTCACATTGTAACACCAGGCGTTCTGTGCATGTCTATATAATCAGTGGCAGAGTGATAATAAGGGAAAAACCTGACAAAGGAAGAACTTCCGCTTTTGAGTTTGCTGACTGAAAGTGCTCAATATACAGAAAACCGGGAAGCGCAGTGATAATAACGCTAACCGTAGTAATAAGCATGCCTATCAAACACCAAAGACAGCGAACAGTCACATCAAATTCTACCACAATGCCACTACATCTACCAATAGCTTTCAGAACTCTACTAAATGCATTAGATCTGGAATCTCGAGTGATTAGTCCCGGAGGACATCAAGATGACTGAGTATGTTCAAGCCACAACTTTTTGGACGTCCTAAACATAACAGAGAAACACCACAACGGAAAATCCTCCAATGAGATGATGCACAAAAGTACGATAAGTTAGACTGAATCACCGAACGCAATGCTTGGATTTCAGACCAACAAAGTGTCTAGAAAGAAACCGTCAGATCGAAAAACTAACCCGGCTATCAAACGAACTCTAATACTGTACGGTAACCAGTCGACGGAAGATTCCGATGTAAAGCTTTGAGGTGATGTCAATATTGTTATTTCCTTCGCGGTTTTCATTCGGTGATCTATTCTCTTCGTTGTAGACCGTTACGATTACAGTGAGCGCTTAGTCCACCTGCAATCCACCGGAAAGTTTCGTAAACCTCAAAACTAAGGCTGAACCACCATCCGTCATCAGAATATACTCTAAACAAAATACCTTGGTTACAGGTTAACTTCAGAAAATCATGACCAATGAATTCGAATCTAGGAACGAAAGCCGTGTTTGGCGACCGTGTTCCGAGCAACGGGAAACATAATGGTGTGACATACCTCCGTGATTCACGATTTCAGTGAGGTGGTTGCCTTTTGCCACCCGATCGTAGACATTGTCTAGAACACATTGAAGTTGATCAACTACAGCCCGAGTTCGAGTCCACTGTGGTTGCTGTGATTCCCAAGGGTAAACTCGTAACCAATCGGAAGATGTAACACAGGCAGTACGAACCAGCTCGACACGAACGTGGGCCGGGGCTAAACCCGGTTTTCCGTATGTATCTGAAACCGGACTAAATACGCCTCCAATAACGACCTGCCGACGGGGAATAACGTCATCTGCCTCACACTTGGAGCACACATCGCTTTGCGTTTTTTTGCAGTGTGTTGATATATCCTGAGAGAAGTTGCAATACGGTTTTGAGATACTCCAAGTTCGCTCCAACTTATCTCGCGCAAGCTCTGAAAAAAGGTGGTGGTAATGCATAAAAAGAGAAAATTTTATATCACCTACAAGTATGCAGATAATACCAGAAAAGACTTGGTAAGAATTATCAGTATCTCATATCTGAAGAAGAAAACATTGATTGACGAAAGTGAAGTTGCGCGGTGGTGGCCCCGTGGTAACATCACCAAATTACCACCTCGGGGGACGTGTGTCCGAACCCCACCACCACCACCACCGCCTGACTTTCCCCGTGGTAGCCCTTTGATTGGTTGCTTCTCCTTTCCTGAAAATTGTACTATTGTGTATTCAATAAAAGGAAGTAAAATGAAAAAAAAGCGAGGACGAGCAGAACAGCATATAAATATAGCAACGATACACAATGAACTAGATAAATTCTCCTGACTTCGATATAGGTCTACATTGAATTCAACCACGGCAAGAATGGGCGATTCATATTACGATAGGATGAAGATTACGAGACCCGGTGACTTGAGATATTATTTTTGCATGCACCAGATAGTTTTCTGGATACGGATTCCGCTGTGGCCCAGACACTACCTATTTGCGGACATGGAAAAGAACGCAGAACGGTTTGGCCAAGCTCACTGTCTGACCCGGGTTCAAAAAAGTGAACAGATCGTGCTTGTATTTGATCTCGCAACTTTGGTGCCAAACCAAACCGGATGAGGCTTGCGAACTCGGTAAGTAGATCGCCTGGTGGTATGACTATTGGGCGTTAACGAACAGAAATCAGTGAAAGAACAGACACAAAATGGGGTCATAGAAACAGGAACTACATCGTTGAGTGGCAACCTAACGACGGAACTGAGGAGGAAAGTGAGTCGTAGCCGCCGTTCGCCGAGCTACAGTGGCTACTCGTGTATTCTAACGATTTTCCTTTCGATATTATGATGTCTCTATATACCCACCAAAATCGATATAGATATCCATTTTGCATAATGTAGGTAACGAATTTAAATAAGGCTCATCAAAAAATGTTTTTTTCAATTTCCTCCTCGATGGAAAACTTGATTGCACGTTTTCCAATGTTGTTAATAGTTTCTGAGTATCAAAGAAACAGATACCGAGAGGAGTAAACTGAAAATAAGGTTACGTT